AGCAGGAAAAGAGACGTCTTGAGCGTGAGGAGGATGAAAGACAGTATGCAGAACGCCGTCGTCAAGATGAAGAAAGAAGAAGGAAGGAGGAGGTTTGTATGCTTACCAACTGGTCTGCAGCGATTGACTTTTCCACAGGAAGAACGAAAGGCAAGACTCGAAGCGGAGAAAAGTCGTAAGAATGTGGAAAGGAGGAAGCGACAGCAAATGATGGCTGGATCTTTTGGTGTATCTTCTAACCAGCCTGTTAAGAAAAATTACACAGTTTCAAAAAGCGATCAAGCCGCTCAGTTTGGAAATCTCGCTCAAGTAGGGGGAAGACGGTGCTACAGTAACTTCTATCAGATCAGCAGTAAAAAGTTTTTCAGAGTAAAAACGATGCGCTCAGTAAGGAGCAACAGGAGGAAGCAAAGCGCGCGTTCCTGGCGGCTGTGTGCCGTCCCCAGGATGTCTCAAACGTTCTCCCAAATGATTTGAAGCAACGAATTAAGACCCTTCATGCTCGCATCGTCAAACTGGAAGGTGAAAAGTATGACCTGGAGAAGCGCCTTGAGAGACAGCAGTACGATGTAAGTAGTACACCGACGTTTATTGCAGAGAACTAGAAATATTCTTTGCAGATAAGGGAGCTGAATGAACGCCAAAGACAGGTTGCCCGGAATAAGGCTATCCAGAAAGGGCTTGACCCTGATGAAGCTGTCTCATCCAAACATCCACCAAAAATCACCACTGCCTCGAAATTTGACCGCCAGACAGATAGACGGTAAGCAAAAAGACTGACACTACTTCTCATAGCCATAACTTTGCAGCTCCTATGGCGATCGTCGTCAGATGTTTGAGCATCCGACTATACAAAGACCTTACACGCTTGCTCGTGGGACAGCACGTCCTCCAAGCGAATGGGGTCGCAAAGAAAACGAGGAACTCGAACAAATTCGGTAGACTGCTTTATCTCAGAAACCCCATCTAATTTTCCCATTTTGCAGCAAAAACCTCGAACCACCTAAGTATGTTGAACAGGTCCGTGCTGAAGGTGATGCCGCAAAGCCACCGGTTGCTCCAATACCTTTAGTACTCCCAGAGAAAGAATTTGTTGAAGAGCCACCACCACCAGAATCAACCGAACAAGCAAAGGTTATTGCTTGACAGTGCAACCGATCATGAGTTCAAAGCTAAATGATATGCTATTTCAGGAAGCTCCAGCAGAACCGGTACAAAACGGAGAAGCTCCCGCAGAGGCGGCAGCTCCAGCGGAAGCAGCTCAGGAGGCTCCTGCAGCAGAAGTTGCCGCATAGACTCTAACAAGGGAAGGATACTAGGTGGCCGTGGCCTTCTAGAATGAAACTTATAC